AGAGACCTGGGAATACCAATGACACCTATAGGCCTTGTACGTAGGATATCAGAAAACTACCAAGCTAGCTACAGGGCGAGGTGCGACTAAATACATGAGGGAATAGGGGTAACAGCAGGGGGCCGGGCAGAGTTGAGTCAGGGTCGAGCCAGGGTCGGAGCCGATACGGAGACCCTTCGGATAGGTTCCGAGCGACCCGAGATGGAACGATTCATGAGAGTCGTTACAGTTTGCCCTGCAACAGCAGTATAAAGTGCTTAGGTTAAACAGTTCCTAGGTGGGAATAAGAGAGGAGGTATATATAGTGCAAGATATATAATTAGATTACTTCTTATTAAAAAGTAGCAATGCTACTTAATCTATATAAATAATAGACTAAACTGTTAATTACAGCTTTTAAGTAAAGTTAGAATTCTAAACTATATACATAGGGTTGTATATGTTGCATGCGTTGCATACGTTGCATGCTCCTAGGCAGGGTTGCTGTTTACTATGCAACCTTTTAGCTCTAGTAATAGTAATTACTATTACTATAGTAATTACTATGCAACCTTTTAGCTCTAGTAATAGTAATTACTATTACTATAGTAATTACTATGCAACCTTTTAGCTCTAGTAATAGTAATTACTATAGTAATCTAGTAATTACTATTTACTAAAAATAGTATAAAAGTATAACATAAGTCTTAATTAGCTATTTTGTCGGTTGACCTAGGTTCGATCGAACGAACGTACGCCTAAGGGGCGTACTAAGAGGTGAGCAGGCAAAGATCTTCTTGTTATTAACTACTGCCTGTAAGGCCGAGATGGCGCTTACGTGCGACAGGTATATATACTATTCTGCACCCGAAAATCAACGTTGGTTGATATTCGTACCTTTTGGTTGTATTGGCGGAGTGGTGCGGAGCCCCGTCCTTACACTGCCCTCTCTCTTTGTACAAAGAAAAAGGGCTCTTAAGTACACATAGCCCCTAACACACAGGCTAGATAGCTAACGTTTTAGGCAACCTAATTTAGCTGTATGTGTGTACAGACACAGCTGTACTTACGTACAAACACTAGCAACTTTTTACTTCTATAGAGTTACTTACTTATCTGTACATTAATTCTACTTTTTTTTTTTTTTCTCTTTGCTCTCTTACTTCTTTTTCTAGAGCTAACCCTTAGTGCTTTTTTTATTTATAATATCCCTTAGCTTCTTAGCTTGTGTATAATTTAACTTACCTTTAGAATAGTGCCTGTGCTTAGCTAGAGTAAGAAAAAGTTCTTACTTAATTATATAAAAGAAGTTGTTAAAATTATGTGTTATCTATCTCTTAAAGTTATTCTGCTTTTATAGTGTATACCTTCCTCTTAGCAGCTTACACATGTTAGAGAGGATGTACACTGCGTATAAAGCTTATTATTGTAGTAGGGGAGAGTCTATATTTATTTTATTATGTAAAAGATCTAAATCTACCTCTCTGCGTAGGATTATTTTAGACACACGTGTAACCCCTAACAACTCTTTGTATAAGGTGTATAGAGACGCTATAACTTAGAGGGGAGTGTAGGTTAATTACCTTCTATGCGGGCAATTAATCCCTAGGGGGGGGGAGGTGTTAGTTAATTGCTTTTTGTGCAAGCAATTAATCCCTAGAGAGAGGGGAGGTGTTAGTTAATTACCTTCTGTGCAGGCAATAGATCTCTAGAGGGGTAGAGGGTGTTAGTTAGTTGCCTTCTATGTAAGCAACTAATTAAGGGGGGGGGGTGTTAACAAGGCAGGCTGCTAATAAGGAGCCCCCTCTGCGTAGCTACGCACGCAGTAGGTTTCTAATTATGCGGCCTGTATTATCTCCTCTGCGTGGCTACGCACGCAGTAGGCGAGTAGTTGCACAGCCTGTGTTAACAGGAGGCTCTAAGGCGCACAAAGGCTTAGTAGTAAGCCCTCTCTGCGTGGCTACGCACGCAGCAGGTTGCTAATCTTGTCTTTGTGCAATTAGTTAATCTAAGGGCGCGCATAAGGCTTACTTACCCCTCTCTGTGTGGCTACGCACACAGTAGATGTGAGCTTCTTTGTACCTTCTCTGCATAGCTACGCACGTGGTAGGTGTAAGCTTCTTATACAGTAGCAGTTTTATTAATCCTTATAAATCTGTCTATTAAGGACAATATCCTCTGCGTAGCTACGCACGCAGTAAATAGTCTGTTAATAAACTAATTAGTGTTAGTTAACCTAGGTTTAATTAAATAAACATACACCTAAGAGGCGTACTAAGAGGTAAGTAGGCAAAGATTTTTTTATTATTAACTACTGCTCTTTCTTTTTGTACAAAGAAAGAGGGCTCTTAAGTACACATAGCCCCTAATGCACAGGCTAGATAGCTAACGTTTTAGGCAACCTAATTTAGCTGTACGCGTGTACAGACACAGCTGTACTTACGTACAAACATATTTAAAATTTATAGCACTTTTAACTTTATTTTTCTTATTTTACTTAGACTACTATATTTAGATAAACTTAGTAAGCTAAGTAAAATAATTTAACTAAATAAACTAATCTAACTAAATAATTTAAATAATCTAAATAAACTAAGTAAAATAAATAAAATAAATAAAATAAATAAAATAAATAAAATAAATAAAATAAAT